ATGTAGGAGGGCAACTTTGGGGAGAGTTTGGCATGCCTGAGGTGTGTTGAGACCCGCCCACAGTGGGCGGAGCTTGCTCTCATTCATAGGGTGCACATTCAAAAAATTTGTAGCTTGGTTCCAGAGCACTCCAGGGACCGGAAAAAAGTGGATTAAGGTCAGCAAAGGGTCGCCGATTGAGAAATGTGGGGCACACATGTTGTGGGCGGTGCCAGCCCGAGGTGGGCGGAGACAGACAAAAGGGTCTGTAAAACGGTTCCAGAGCACTCCAGGGACCGAAAAAAGTGGATTAAGGTCAGCAAAGGGTCGCCGGTAAGAAATGTGAGGCACACATGTTGTGGGCGGGCCAGACAAAAGTTCTGTAAAACGGTTCCAGAGCACTCCAGGGCCGGAAAAAAGTGTATTAAGGTCAGCAAAGGGTCGCCGGTAAAAAAATGTGGGAGCACATGTTGTATGCGGGACCAACTCGAGGTGGGCGGAGACAGACAAAAGTTCTGTAAAACACGGAAGTGGATGGTCAGGAGGAATCACCGTATGATGAGGCACACTGCCGTTGTAGGCGGAGCGTGCGGCTAGGCGGCGGAGCCAAATGCAGAAAAATAGAATGGTTCCATAACAGACTCCAGGCACCGGCAAAGACGAGCAAAAATGTGCAGGAGCTCCGCTATTGAAGCGAGATTTACGCGCCCATTCTGTGCGGAGCTGTGTCGATGTTGTGGGCGGGCGAAGGTCAAAAATTCACGAATTAGTTGCAGAGCAGCATAGGCACCGGGGACAGGTGGATTGAGGTCTAAAAGGGGTCAGGGAGGAGAAAAAATCTCAAAAATGACAGGCTGCTTTCGAGATGGGCAGGCTCTTGCTGAAAAATTTCGTGGTTCGCATCTGAGTGAGCTTGGAGATCAGGAAAAACTTTTGGTGAAGAGAAACATATGGCGAGAGTTCAGCATGTCTGTGGTGTGTTGAGACCGCCCACAGTGGGTGGAGCGTGTTCTCAAGCACGGGGTCCCTACTTTCACTGCGTTTTAGTGCATAGGCCGCCACACTCTTGAACACCTGTTGTCACACGTACATTTGATACCAGTCGGTTCGCTGGCTGACGCCGGCGCGACTCCTTTTCTAATAGGGCCAGGCTTTGCCGGTTTTGCTTACTTCGTCGCGCCCACCTGCTTGCGTATGTTTGAATGCTCAACTAATACCCGGTTTCTCTCTCATCTGCGCCCTTGATCAACGCTGCTTACCACCATTCATAGACGGTGATAGTGTCGAAAATAGTTTATGATTTATTATCGGCATTCTATTGACAGTGGCACACACATAAAAAGGAAACGCAGAAAAAAATCTCCGATAATCAACCTAGAACTCAGTGGGAAAACAGCATAAAGTTGTTGCGGTGTAGAGGGGGTAATCAGTGCAGAAGGGCAGTGGCCGCCAACACTGCAAGTCCATCCACGCATCAAATAGGACTCCGGATACCAACTTAGTAGGTCCGCCAACTTTACTGAGACCCAGCTCCAACAGCCGCAGGCAAGGATTAGCAATGGGGTGCAACTAGGTAAGAAATATACATCTTGATAGTAATAATAATA